TTCCCAGAGTTGTTGTCTGTATTTCTCCTTCACTTCTGTCTCACTATTTGTCGGCAATCCTTATAAAAAGACAGAATATTCTCGAATATAAATGTTTTCAATATAAGTATAGAAATCATTGTATTCCAACCTAAATATGATGGCGGAAGTCGTTTATCGAGATAACCCGTATCCAATGATAATGGACTACTACTCCAACTGAATATCCAGGGTATGCCTGATGTGACTATAGATGGGAACTGTATGGCATTGTCACTAATTATGACATCAGGCTTGAGGTCGGAGATAATATTTTTGACGTATGGATCCATTTCTTTAATCTCTTTCAACCCGTAATTCAATAAAAATTCATTGAAACAAATAGTCATTTCCAATGGACTTATGTTTTGAAAAGCTCCCGATTCCTCAGCATCTGTTGAGTTACTATCGGCTGAGTCGGTGACCACTACATCCCTGTCCACCGGCTCTCCGATAAGTCTCACCTCAAACCCAATGGACTCGAGCCGTGACTTCCAATCGCTGTTCACCGCAAACACACAGTTATGTCGACCGATGTCTCGCAACACTTCGGCCATACCTATACTGGCGTTCACTGGGCCTACAAACAATGCCGGGGCAAACAGCACCGTTAGCTTTCTGTTTGGCATTATTTAAATATTGATTGTTAACTTGGTTAGCAGCAAGATTTACATTCACACTGGATTTATGAGTGGTATTAAAGCAAACCTTTTATATGAATTATTATTAATAATGACAACACATTCATATCATTTTAATCATTTATTTCAAGGATATATTAGTTTACAAAAAACACATTTTATTAACTGTAAGTGTAATATTGATAACATACAGTATATTTTCAATTTATTTAATTAAAAGTGCATTAAAGTAAACTTTAACTTATATTTTTTAATAATGTGCTTTTATAATATCGTAATAATATTATACAATTTTACAATATTAATTTTATTAATAGCTTTATTGTAAATTTTTTAATATGTTGGCAGAATTATGATTTACAAATTAAATTTATTCACTTAGTTTAAAAACATTATCTTATATTTTATATTATAAAATGGCAAAAATATTATTATACTTAAAGTTGTATTTAAGTTAACAATATAAAAATTGTTAATTTTTAATCAATTACTAAATTGTCCACAATTTTGATGAGTTTTTCGATATTCCTTTCACTTTGAATTCTTTGCGATACTTTTGCCAACTTTTGTGCCAATATTTGATCGTTTAATAGTCTGTCGATTGAATCCAATAATTCATTTTCAGAGCACTCGTAAGGATTGAGTCTAATCCCAAACCCCTTTTCCATAACTCTCTGTGCGTTATCGTATTGATCCCCAAAGAGTGGTAAGACTATCATAGGTTTCCCGAAATTCATGGTTTCCGTCACAGAATTGTTGCCGCCGTGTGTTATCATTAGGTCTACGACTGACAACACTTTTACCTGAGGGACAGACCTCTCGCCCCACATATTGTCCGCCAACGAGTACTTCTCGTGATTGACACCTTTGGAGACAATGAACCGGTGCTTAGATTTGGACAAAATCGCAACCAATCTCTTCATAAGCTACTGAGGGACAGATCTCTCGCCCCACATATTGTCCGCCAACGAGTACTTCTCGTGATTGACACCTTTGGAGACAATGAACCGGTGCTTAGATTTGGACAAAATCGCAACCAATCTCTTCATAAGCTCTGCATTTCCGGATCCAATGGATCCCAACGATAGATAAATCAGTTTTCCGGATCTATTCTTAAGACATTCGGGGATTTCAAACGTGTCTTCATTTTCGGTTCGTTTAAAATTATCAAATCCATGGAAA